AGCTCCTTCCCTACTTCATTCAGACTTCGCTCCCTTGGATGCTGAGGTAAGCCAGAAAGGCCAGTATGAACTCAGTCCCCCATCTCATCTTTATTATTCAGACAACTTTGCAAAACCAGAAATCTCTTCTCCTTTCTCATCAGAATTATCCCCTTTTGGCTGAAGGGGGTCCCCATCTACACACCTCCTCACATTCTGCAGACTATGGGTACTAAATCAAGCCTACATCTCCATCCAAATATTTAACCTCACTCTATTATCTCCCCATGAATATGGGTAACTACATACAAATGGGCCCACTTCATCTAACACCTCCTTCCTTCCTAGTTTAACCATTCCAGAGGGTTGCTAAAAACTCAGTTTATATAAGCAGATGAAGAACAGAGTTCTCCGGGCTTCAAGGTCCAAGGGATTGGGGTCAAGATGGAAGTCTACTTAACCAAGTGGAGCCCTTTTTGACTTATAGGCCCATCACCATGGAATGTGGAAGCAACCATTCCTGGATGGTCATTTCTGGGCATTGTGCTTTGACTAGACAGAATTAAAAGCAAAACTGGAGACAGTGTAAAAGCCTTAACAGATGGCACAGAAGCCCCTCTCCTAATGTCCCTTGAACAGAAGAGGAATGTGACAGGGCCAAGGGAGCCAGCACCTTCCTCATGAGCCATTCCTCATATAGAATGGGAGAGCTCAAGTGGCCCTGAGTTAGGAAACAAACTCTCATGGTCATCTCACAAACAAAAGATGCAGGGGGAAGAAAAAAGACTGGACCATTTCAGAGAAGGACCAAATGAAGAAAAATTCTGCTTGTCTGTTGGTGACTTTTTTTTTTTAATTAAGTGGACACTTTAGCTCAAGAATCCATTAGTTCTAAATTGTTATAGTCTCTTACAGAGAGGGAATTAGAACATGAATTCAAACCACCCCACAGACTTCTTTTCATTATTCCTCTATCTTCCCCCTGGGTGGGGGTTAAACTTATTGCTCTGTCTCTCTCTGAGACTTAAAAGTCATTAGGGTGAGCCTCCTCCAATCCCAGCATGCTCAACCCCTCTCCTCCTTTAATCTATTAACAGAAATAAAGGCTAACTATGAATCAGAAACTCCAAACGATCCTCCTCTATCCCAGCTGACTTGTAGAATTAAACGAACAATTTGAACCAATCCAACTTGGCATGGAGCCGCCCAAAGCATCTCCCACATGCAGAAGGCTCAAGGATAGCTAAAGTGGGCCAAAGGCCTAAGGGCCAGTTCGACTAATGAGGACTTGGGCTCTAGTGTTTGTTTCTTCAAGAGTAACCTAAACACACAGTATTTATCATGCTTTCTGGTGGAGACAGAGAAGGAGCTGAGCCGGCCACTCCAGATAGGCCATGAGCTATGGGTTTCAAAAAGGCAAAATGGTAATGCTCCAGAAGTAGCAGACAGCTGCTGCTCTCATTAACTCACAGCATAGGACAGCCTCCTGGGGGCACTGGAGCTGGCATCAAATTGAAGTTACTCTTCTCTGGGCTACATGGCAGGCACCAGGTTCCCAAGCACCCGGCGGGAAACAAGCACCCAGAAGAGTGGTACGGTATGGCAAGGGGACTTGTCTGTGATACACCAAATATGGCAACAGTATTGGGTTGGCAGACCAGCAGCTGGATCACAAGTGATGTGGTAGCCAACCTCTCTTCCTTGCTGCTTTGATGACACCACTGGCCATGTTGGAAAAGTCTAGCAGTCAGGGATTGAGAGCCACCTCCAGTGGAGTCCAAAAAGAACAGAGGCCTGTGCTCCAACAACCCTGCAGAAACCCAGTTCTGCCACAACCATGTGAGTGTGGGAGCTGTTCAGTCTCCCTCCCAAGCCATCAGGTGAGACCCCAACATTAATGGACACCTTAACCCTGAAGCAGAAAACCCAGTGATGAGGCATTAAGGCCTTTGATCCCCAGAAACTCTGAAACTGCAAGTGGGCAGTAGAAGCTATGAAGTCTTGGAGCAATTTGTCACATTGCTAGCTATCTAATGCTGCAGGCCAGCTGCCTAACACATGCTAGGCACCCCTCTCCACCCCAGTACTATCACATGGTCAATACCTGCAGCCCTGGACCCTATCACAGCTGCCATTCAAAAACTAGCCACCAGCATAGCACCTAGCATGTAAGGGCTCAATAAGTGCCTCCATTGGTAGAATATTTGTGTTAATTTAAGGCAAGAGAGGCCAAAAGCTTCCCCCTTTGGTTTCTGGCAGAGGTTATTTGTTCCTTAAAAACAAGCAAGAAGGGCAGAGTGGGCCAGTTCAACCTCCTACAAGTGATAGCCCACAGCCGGGCCAGGAAGGCAGGGAGAGCAGGTTCTACTTCTGGCTTCAAGTCTGAGCCTGGCCAGCATGGCTGTCCTGCTGCTCCAGGGCTCAGTTTCTTGGTACCTCCTGTCTTCAGAAATGGATGCATAATTCTAGGAAAGGACACTCTGGGGGAAAATGCCTCCGCTCTCCATCAAGAAGATATGAGGTCTCTGTATGTGATGTCCTCTCTTGTGTTAGTTAGTACTCATAGGGAGTACTACTATTAGGAAGGGGTGGCTCTGTTGGAGTGGATATGGCCTTGTTGGAGGAAATGAGTCACTGTGGTGGCGGATTTTGAAGTTTCCTATGCTCAGGATACCACCCAGTGCCTCAGTTGACTTCCTGTTCACCTACTATTCCAGCACTACATCAGTCTGCACACTGCCATGCTCCCCACCATGAAGATAATGGACTGAATCTCTGAAACTGTAAGCCAGCCCCCTCCATTAAATGTTTTCTTTATAATAGTTGCAGTGGTCATGGTGTCCCTTCCCAGCAATAGAACCCTGAATAAGACATAGCTCTATTCAGTGCAGTTTTCTCCTTGGATTATTTTGCATCCTTGTCTGTGGGGCAAACTCTTACTCATCGTTTAAAACCCAGCCTGAGAGCAGCTCCTCAAATGGAGAGGGGTCCTCTGCACTGGGAAACTTGCTTTCTTCCCCTTCCAGTTATAGTCTGTAGGACCAAGACAAACACTGGCAACCTGCCTGTCTCTCCAGCTAGCCCGAGAGTTCCAGTCTCCCTGGGGCTGGTACACACAGAAACAACTCACACAGCTCTGTCTTCATCTGCTCAAAATGCTTGCCAAAGCCTCAGTTCTCAGGCCTGAAACTGGGGACTATCTGATGACTTTTCTCAGAATTAAGCAGTAGGAAGAACAGTAGAGATGTACGTTCTACTGGGGAACTTGGGCTGAGGTGGCTTGGGGGAGAAGGGAGAAGCAGCTGTCAAAATACCTCAGCGGGTGGTGAGGGTCAGTTTTCTCAGGACTACCTTTCCTAGTTATGCAATCCTGCTGTTCTGTGCCTGGAAAACCCAGCCCACTCCATGGGGGGGGAAAGGGAGGTCCACTTCCTGCCTAGAAGAGAAGGTAGATATATATATGGCTGTCTTGGGAACCACATGAAATGGCTGCCCCATGGTGTGGACTCAGGAGACCGCTGTGTCCCAGGCTGAGATGGTCCTCTGTTCAGTAATCTAAAGAAGAGCTGGGGACCTTCTAGAGCCTCATGAGAATTTGGGAACCCCGCTCAGCTAATGGGAGGGCAAGCACGTGCTCTCAGGCAGACATGCTAAAGGCTAGATTGCATATTCACAAAACTGTACTCATAGATGTGTGCACATGGCACATATGTGTATCTGATAGGAGAGAAATCTGGAAGAATACACAGAAAAACATAACTAATAGTTACCTACATGGTCAGTTTCCTTTATAGTTTCCAATGCGTTCCCTTAACGCCTCTACAATAAATACAGCTATTGTTACCGTGGGAGCCTGGAACTCATGCCATCTGAGGAAGAAATCAGATGGGCATTTCCTAGGGCTGTGGTAACAAAGTGCCACACATGACAGGAGGTTCTTCGTCTGTCATTCAGGAAGCTAGATTTGTAAAATGTAGGTGTTAACAAGGCTAGCTTCAGGTTCCATGCCTCTCTCCCAGCTTTTAAGGAGTACAGCAATCCTTGGCATCCCTTGTTTTGTGGCCACAACCTTCAATCTCTTCACATGGTAAATTCCCTAATCCATCTGCAAAGACCCAATTTCCAGATAAAGCTACAGGACTTAGGATTTTAGTATATCTTATTTGGGGCAGGGATCATAATTCAAAACATAGGAAAACATAGAAAATAAGACAACAAAGGGCTGCAGGCCTTGCCTTTAAATATCAGGTGGCGGCTATCATAGTTTGAAATGATTAGACTGGATTGTATGGCTTACAGGAGAATAAATGAGAACAGGGTTTGGACAAAAGACAGCTGCTCGCCAGATAGGAAGCTGAGCTGTTCTGACTTAGACTGGCCATCTGGAGTGGCAACCCCTCGTTCCAATAAGATAATGTCTGGAGGGCACAGCAGACTAAGTGATGGAAAGGTCTTAACAGTCTACAGCATACACAGCGTTGCCACCCTGGTACTGTCTCATCAACTGTGTAAGCTCCACTCCATCCAGACCTGGGCAAACCTTGATCTTATCAGAGGTAGAGCAACCTGTCAGTCATTTCCCCCTACTTTGGTTTCCAGGGAAACTGGAGGGGGGGATGGATGGTACACATTCAGAGCTGCATGGGGAAAAGGACCCACCAACCAAAGCCATAAGGAATTCTGGGAGTCAGAGTACACAGAAAACCCCAACACACCTGACACCAAGGGTATCCCCAGCCCTAACAGCACTGGAATCTCCTGTCCCTTGGTCCAGACCCACCAGAGGCTAACACCCACAAACCAGTCAAAACTACTGAGAAGACAGGCCAGGATTTGTTTAAATGAGGGAAGGATTGCCCTAAGAATAACATTTATGTAAGAAACAGCAGTAATGTCGCAAGTTAAGCCTCTTCATTATTTTTCTTAAACAGGCAAATCTTCTCTGTGACGAGATAGAAACAGTGTGCTCCAAAAATCCCTTTCTTTTCCCAAAGGATGCAAAGCATGGCACCCCCACTCACCTCTCCACAGGGTCCCTGAGCATGACAATGAGCTTGGCTTCGGGCTGAAAGGCATGAATGAAGTCTTGGGTCAGGAATGGTGGCTCCCCGTCTGTGCTGTTGTCATAGAAGAAGGTCCAGGCATTGTTATCCCACATTGTAGAGGCGCTGGCCTCTCCTGCAAACAAACAGGGAGCAGATGCTAGGCCTTAGAGTATGGGCTCCCACTGTGAGCCAGAGGCCAAGCCTGGCTCCTGTGTCTTCCTCCTAAATAGCCATGACCAGCAAGCTTATGGGCCATTGTTGGCAGATGGGACTCGGAATCTTGTGAAAGGACAACTGGCACCCCTCTGAGGCTGCCACCCTCACCCCCAGCTTCCTCCTTCAGAGTGAACAAAATATAACCTTTACTAACACCCACTACTTCAATTTCACAATATTTGGCTTTGCTGGCAGCTCACAGCTCTGTGGCATTTTTAAGGGCCCACTGAGGAATCTAGTAGACGGTTTTCCTTCAAAAATGTGTCAGGAAGAGAAAAGAGTCATTTGGGGAAGCTGACTCTCGGTGGAAAGTTGGATGTAGTTCACATCTACCTTTCCTTGGAACCATGACAGTTGGTCACAGGGCACAATATAGAACCAAATGAGAGGGAGACTTTGCCAGAAGCCCCGGGGGTCTCAGCCTCAGGCCCCACTTCCCCGCATGGTCAGCTGCCTATTTCCTGTACCTCACCTCTTGCTTTTTATCCAGCCAGTACTCTCAGTGGCTGGATAAACAGGGCCCAACACTACTTAATCAGAGTTCACCGACACAAGCATAAAAATAGTCAGTATATTTTAATAGTCAGTATATCTTTGGGGCGAGAGATGAGGCCAAGACACAGGCAAGTAAATAACAGAGACTCTTGGATAATTGAACTAATTATTATTATTGCTGCTGTTGTTATTGTGTATGAGTGTGGTGTGTGTGTGTCATATGACATTTGTACTCTTATGTTCACATGTATATGTAACTGTTTGTGAAGACCAGATGTCAACAAGGAATGTCTCCCTCTATTGCTCTGTGTCTCACTGAACCCAGAGCTTGACAATTGCCAGCCTAGGGATGCTCCTGACTCTGGCTCCTGCCTGGGCCTTCCCAGCACTGGGATTACAGGAGCACACAACCATGCCTAGCTTTCTCCAAGGGTGCTGGAAATCCAAACTTAGGTCCTCATGACTGTGTAACGAGTGCTTTGCAAATAAGCCATCTTCCCAGCTTCATTTATCTTGTAATATTCTGTGACTGCCTGCAAAAATGTAGAAGGGGACTCTAGGAATCTAGTGAGATGAATACTGGTGCCTACCCTTCCATAGCCATCACTATCCCCAGACTATTTCTTCAGGATGAACAAGCCAGTCAGCTCTACACTTGGTTTCTAGACATGGACCACGTGCCACATTTCAATGTCACTCATTCAGGGACAGTCTGAGTTAAGGATCTTCCTGGTCAGTGATAAGCACATTACAATCAGATAGTAGGCCCTATAAGCACATTAGGGTCATGTGTGATGACATAGGACCTATAAGCGCATTATGGTCATATGTGAAGACAATGGGCCCTACTCTTCTGCAAGGTCTGTGATGGTATCAGGTGAACACTTCTATCTCAGGCTTCTTTTATTTATTTTTAAAAACATAAGAAAGAGAGAAAAGACAAGTCAAATCTTTAGCAAATCTACTCACTATGAAGGAGGGAGTATGAAATGGAGTGTCTAACCTGAAACTGGCACAAATTCTGCCAGATCTCAAAGGAGAGCTGGTTCTAGAACCATGCAGGCATTGGTCTATCTTCCCATCTGTCCATCCACCCAGCCTCCATCCACCCAGAACACATTCACTTGACATCTAATTCTTGTTCCTCATTGTCCTTGACACAGGGCCAGTGAGGGAAACAAGACAGGCATAGACCATCTCTTCTAAGAGAAAATCAGAAGTTCAAGAAGCCACCAGATACTGAATGAGTGGACAGGGACAAGGCACCCAGCAGGCAGAGCAGAGCCCTTCAGCATCCACATCCCCACAGAACTTGACTGCCTCAGTCCTGAGTCCTCAAGTGTCTCTCTTGCTAGAAGCTGCTGAGAGGGAGGGCCTCCTCTGACCCCTCACCCAAGCTGACATGACTCTTTGACCCCTGCCTTCCTTGGGAAGAAGAGTTGAAAAGGGGCTGAGTCACATTGGTCCAGCAATCCCATCCCATAGACCTGTAGACTGGGATGACTTGGCATAGAGCTGGCTGGTGACATAGGCAGAGACAGATGCCAGCTTGTCTCTGCCTCTCCACACTGCCTCTCACACCAAGAGGCTATCATATGATACAGCACCAAACCTGGCTTGGAGTAAATATCAGTGTAGTATTTTTATTTCTTGTTCTTTTTTGAAATATAGCAGTAACTATAATTAGGAACCCAAACGAAGACTTTCCTTTCACATTCATTTTCTAAGACTGTTTCTTGGCTTTGGGAGGAATATTTTTAGCTCTTTCATAGAACCTGAGATTTCCCAGGCATATGGTATCGGAGTCTCAGCAAAATATTAATTAGACTTATTAAATGGGGTGTTTGTACCCCTGAGTTAAAAAAAAAATCTAACAGCCAATTCATACTATAGGTATGAGTGCGGGTAAAATACATTCCCAGTGGATCTGGAGATTTTACTTATGAATTAAAAAAAAAAAAATCAATCCATCTATCAGTCCAGGCTTTGGCAGATGCCAGAATCTGCTCACAGAGTCAGGGACAGCCTCATGAAAGTGGCTGGTCACAAGCTATCCTGCTCATCCAGAGATTCATTTGATTTAGAGAATCAAAATGTAATGGATCCAGGAACACAAAATAGATCATTGCCTAGGGGAACCAATTTAAGTGAAATGTATGATTCAATTTCTCCTTTTCAGAAGGCGTTGGAGATAAACACCTCATCCCAAGCTAAATCTGATGAAAAGAGTTCTGTCAGATGAAATGAGTCTAGCATCTAAAGCACAGAGACAGAGCTGGAGGTGGCAATGCCCCACTGTGTGCCATCATTTGTGAATGGGGGAGGGTGGCTTCAGGTACTCTCCCCATTTGAAAGAAGGCAAAGGATGAAGGGAGGGAACTGTGAGAAGACAGATATGCTAATTTGATAAGCTACAATAATCATTTCATTATGTGTATGTATCAAAATGTATACATCTAAATAGAAACTTTTTTTTATTTTCAATAAAACACTCTTGCAAAGTTTTAAATCAAGCAGTCTCAGTTTGTTTCATCTTCCATGGCTTCACTTGGTTTTGCTTTGTTGAGACAGGGTCTTACTAAAGAACCCAGGCAAGCCTCAAACTCAAGATTCTCCTGCCTCCATATCCTGAGCACATGCCACTCAAACGACTTCAGTTTGACTGCTCATGGGTTACACAGCAACTCATCCCAGAGAGTGTGCAGAGCTCTGCTGAGACCAAAGGAGATGGTGTCCCCTTCCCACAGTCCTCCCGTTCAGTCAGTGACTCATCAGAAGGCTAACCCTTATCAGGGCACTATGGAAAGAAGCAAAGCACCCCTGCTCAAATTAAGGAAAAAAAAATGGCAAGTTGCTTAAAAAGCCATTGCAGCCATCCTTGAGTCTGCACAGAATAAGCAAGCTGATTAAACGCTTCTGCTTTATAGTAATAGTACACATGGTGTAATTGTTTTACCTGGGGTAAGAGTGACAGCCGGGTGATGAAGGGACGCACCTGCAAATGCTCTGCAGATGAGGCAGAACTGGGTCCAGAACATGAACCAGGACCCCAAGGAGGTTGCTCCCACCAGCTGCCCTGAAGCTGCACGAAGCTATACCTACCAATGATGATTTTGTTCATCTTGCTCTGCTCCTCTGCAGAGGCAGCCTGCAGTCCTTGGTGAATCTGGTGTGCAGCCAAGTCAAAGAGGTCCAGGTAATCTTCCACAGGGTAGCGGTCTCGCAGTCCATCCCTCAGGCGGACAATTCCTACAGGAACCAAGAAGTGAGTTACTGGCTGGACAGTGGTGGCACATGCCTTCAATCCTAGTACTCAGGGAGGCAAAGGCATGCAGATGTCTATGAATTTGAGGTCAGCCTGGCATACAAAGAGATTTCCAGGATAGCTAGGGCTACACACAGAGAAACCCTGTCTCAAAAAACAAAAGCAACAACAACAACAACAAACAAGTTGAGTTACTGAAGACAACATTGCCACTAATAGTGTGGTGGCCTCCTGGAGCATGACCAGAGAGGGAGGAAAAGGCCAAAGGGGCCGAACTTTAGCAGCAAAAGGCTTGATGCAGGCAAGCTTCCAGAGGAGGTACATGGGTGTGGGATGGAGAGCTCTGTCAACTGCCCACTTGCTTTGGTACACACATGCCTCACAAGGTGAAAGACACCACCACTGCTGGGCAGTAGCCACTTATTAAAGGCCACGCCCACTCAAGAGGTAGACAAAGGGATACGTGGAGGGCTAGAGTTGAGAACTGATGAACATATTCACCAAGAGAGATTAAAGCAGATGCACAGCAGTGGTACCTAGGTTTTGAGTGGGGTGCCAAATATGAAGAAAGACAAAAGGTAAGTAGCAAGGAAATGGCATCCTGTCACCTTCATAGCGCCTCTTTCTTCAGTGCCCTTTGGGACCCAACAGCTGCTCTAATATGGATGCATTCTATGAAGCACCCTGCTACTTGTCCAAACAGTAGAGTGAACTGATAGTGCCCTGGATGGATACAGACTCTGGCATCAGCAACACACATCTGAAATTTGCTCCCCGCCTTAAAATAGCTTGTAACCATTTGAAAACATACACTGCCCAGCCACCACAGACACCAAAGTTACTGCAAAGTAGGAAGAAAACAGTTCTGGCCAAAATAACAAGAAATCCAAGGTGATACAGAATATTAGCATCTGAGGCACGCCCTGTCTTTCCCTCCTTCCTGCCAGGGGGAGGCTGGATCTCTTTAGGAAGGACATGGACTATGGTAGGAGAGTATGTGTTCATTCACAAAAGCATCAAATGCATTAGGAAGAGATTTTGACCACTCGACAGCTACTGTTAAACCACTCCTGAGTGAACAACAAAAGGAGGAAATCAAACATTTGTCGGGAAAAGTTAGTCTAAGAAAACGTCTACAATTCTCTTCTAGTGCTGGGTCCCTTTATATGGAAACTACCCTCATGGCCTGCCCAGACTTTGGCAGACAACAGGCCATGTATCACCCATTAGCTTCAGTGACCAAACGTCTCCTGGCAGAAGGAAAAGGTTATGGACGGGAAACAGTGACCAAGGGCCACAGGGTGTCTGGGGCTGGGTGGAGCAGAACCCAGCCTACAAGGAGTGGCAGAGCAGGCGGGGCCCACAGTCAAACTTATTGACTGGTGGTGATATGTATCCCCACTGCATTTCAAACACAAGAGGTAGATAGACAGCTGAGGACACAAGCTGAGTCTCCTCCAGGTGTGGTGGCTTCAGTAAAGCAGTCCAGAGCTGCCAGACACCCTAGTTCCTGGCATATATTGATCCCTGCAAGGTTTGCATGTTAAAGTTCTTCAGGACAACTAAAAGAGCTAGGTGTGTAATGTAACCCTCAGTAACACACACACACACACACCACCACCACCAACAACAACAACAACAGCAGCAGCAGCAGCAGCAACAGCACCAAGTTCCCATTCTGTACCTGCCCCCTTGCCCTGCACACAGCTAGCACTCAACCAGTGTTCACTATCTGGGTCTTTGCCTGTAAAACACTGCTGTGGTTTGAGTGTGTCCCCCAGAGGCTCATGTGCTGGAAGCTTGGAAGGCTGGTACTCAGCGTGGGATGCTGAGGGAAATGGAACCCTTTAAAAAGCAGAGTATAGTGGAAGAGGATTGATTAGCTTATGGAAGCTCTACCTGGAAAGTTTAGTGCTGTTCTCTTGGAGTGACTTTGCTCCTGAGAAAGTGGTTTATTGTAAAACCAGGCCCCACTATGAACTTGGCCTCTGCTGCATATGACTAGTCATCTTTTCCTTTCTCTACCACCTTGCAATATAGCTAACGGCCTCTCAATGGGACATTGGCAACATGCTTTTTGGAATCTTTAGCCCCTAGAATCATGAACCCAATACATTTCTTTCCTTTTAAATTACCCAAACACTGGCACTTTGTCATTATACCACAAGACAGATTAATGAAACTGTCTACTGACAAGGGCCGTGTCACTGAATCTCAACACATCTTCTCTCCAACCTCACCCTGCCTTCCTCCATGGAATCTCACACCCACCAACCATAACATGCATCCATAGAATGACTAAGAGAAAATAAGACCCAACACTCACCAAAGCGCTTCCGAGTCCACCAATGGGGCTCCTTTATGGCCGAGAATTTCACTTCTGGATGCAGCCGAAGGCGGTCATAAAGGTCAGTAGTTCCACACTTGGGCTGCCCAATGATATAGAAGTGTGGCAGGCAGCGCAGGCGGAAGTGTTTGCCATGCACATGTGACAGGTGACCCCAGAAGACTTTTCGTAGGGCATCAAAGGTGGAGCGGAACCGCTTGGAATAGAGCACGTAGGAATTTGTCAAGTAGGGGTCAGTGGTGTTCCTCCCAGAGAATTCCTCATACCAACAGGGGCTCTTGCTGTTCGGAAGGAATTTATGGGGGATTACAGAAAACATCTGCAATCAAAGAAAGAAGGAGACAGACTCAATGAGGGAAAACCATTAGCAAAATCATATTCTAAGCTAGGAGGAGGGGTGACCCACACCTGTAATCCCAGCACTCAGGAGACAGAGGCAGGTGGGTCTTTGCGATTTCAAGGACAGCATGATCTACACAGAGAGTTCCAGGACAGAGAGACCTTATCTCAAAAACAAAACTAAGCAAATCTAAATGGTGGAGCTGGACAAGTGGTTGAGCAGTTAGTGTATACTGCTCTGTCAGAAGATCAGAGCTCAGTTCCCAGCTCATAACCCCCTATAACTCCAGCTCCAGGGGATTCAACTTCTACTCTGGCCTCCAAGGGCACCTGCCCTCACATACACCTACACAGGCAAGCACACACACACACACACACACACACACACACACACACACACACACGACAAAATTAAACATTTTTAAAAATACTAAATGATGATGATCTCCAAAAGCAACTTCAACCACTATGACCCCATTCTAGGCAAGAAGTCCCCAAATGCAATGATGAGAAGAGATAGTCATTGACCATCTCTAATAGAGACATTCGGGACAGCAAATTCCCAACATAATCACACAGCGCTATCTCATCCCAGAGGCTGCCAAATTATCTTTGCTGTAAGACATCTAGGAAGTGTGTGTCACATTCCACCTGTGCCCCCAAACATGGAAGCAGTCGTCCTTTAAAAGCCAACCATCAAGAATGACATGAGGTTACTCACGTGCAACTCTTGCCTCTTGAGATCTTGTAAGTCAGGGAGCTGCCTGGTTGTAAACTCAATCCTGGCAGCGATGCTGTCGATAATTAGTTTAATGCTTGGATAGTCCTTCACATAGGAGATATTATTTATAGAAGGTTGGTAGTGATGCTCTTTCATGTCACTTGGGTTCTCACTGTCCATCAAGCTGGGGTTGCTGGGGAAACCCCCGTAATGGAAAGGAGATGAAATTAGAAGCTCCTGGTGAGCCCCAGAAAGGAGATAAGAAGCCATCACCAAGGTCATGATTATCAATCCAAACACCAGGCTACATCGCTTCCCCTTCTTGAAGCGCAGAAACCCACCCCAGTTCTCATTGCCCTCCGTCCTCACTTCGAGAACAGCAAGCAAGTTCATCTGCCTACTGTCTACACGAAACAGAATTTTGTTTTCTCCTTTGCAAGTGGGGCACACCTGATGACTGTGATGGGGACCTCCTTGGCAGGCAACTTGCTGTTTGTGTGTGTCTTCAGGAAACAACTGTATGCAGCAATCGATGCAGTGCCTCATGGTAGAGCCCTTGGGCAGCCGGGCTTAGGGAGCCATGGACCAGCCCTCAAGGAGTCTGCTGGGAAAACTTTAAGGGTATCCTGTGGTGACAGAAGATGGTGAGAAGGCACAAGCAATGGAAATAAATGCGAAGCAGAGCAGACACCAGCACACTATCGAAGGAGGTGCATTCTTTGGTTCAAACATGAAGGACAACCCCCCCCCAAAAAGCCAATTCCAATCGTCTGTTCTGCACCAGCCATGCAACACTGAGGCAACCGCAGGTGTGGAAGCAGTTCTGCTAGAACTTCAGGTTTTTCCCATGGCACCAAAGAAAGGTGGCGTGGCATCCGTGGAGAGCATGGAGCCACACTGGAGATTAGAAGACATCATGGGATCCTCATTGGCCGGCAGTCTGGCATCCTCCAGAATGTTTCCTCTTCCTGGGAGGGCAGGTTCTTAGGAATGGCAGGTGACCTAAACACAAAGAAAGGTTAAGTCTGTTATATTATGTGGTAACTGTGATAATATAGGAGTTGCTTCCCAGAGAAGAGCAGACGGTTAGCTCCCCATTTCAACCACACATAAACAAGGCACAGACTGTACAAGGTAAATGGAGACGTTTGGGGTGTTTGTGCTTGAATTTAGGGTTCATTCTCTGTCACCAAATATGACCCCAAACACTACACTTTAAATGACCGATAAACCCTCCAGGACCTTTACACATCTGAGCTATGACAGCCCAGTATCTCAAGATTGTGTAACTGTAGTCAGATCCATGCCCAGTCAGATTCTTAGTTAGGTTTAAGCAGCTTGCGGTAGAGAGGATTATCACATCTTTTTCTTCCACATCACAGTCCATCATCGAAAGAAGTCAGGGCAGGAGCTAAAGGCAGCAGGCTGGAGGCAGGAACTGAAGCAGAGGCCATGGAGAAACCCTGCCCACTGGCTTGCTCTCCATGGCTTACTCAGTCTGCTTTCTTACACAATCCAGGACCAAGAGCCCAGGGATAGCACCACCCACAGTGAGCTGGACCATGCAGGTCATTCATTAAGCAAGAAACTGCTCTAAAACATGCCTACAGGCCAATCTGATGGAGTTTTTTCAATTGAGGTTTCTTTTTCCCACATAACTGTAGCTTTTGTCAAGTTGAGAGAGACAGAGAGAGAGAGAGAGATCCAAGACCATCAGTGATTTCCAATTTGAGAAATGAATCAAAATACCATTTTTACCTCAATGATAGATGTGAAGCATGGTGAGGAGGGGATGGGAAGGGGGAGGGAGGAGAGCAGAGGGAGGCAGGCTGTCTCCTCACGGCTTCTCTAGTCTCTCCACTACAGCTAAAGAAGCAAAAGTTAATGAAAATTTAGCAACAATGGAACAACCCTCTTCTTCAGTCAAGTGTATCATATTAAAAAAAATAAAAAAAAAACCCATCTGACTTTAAGTTATTAAGCAATTAAGTCCAATATACAGAATTCCCCCAAGTCATGTAACACTTCAGACCCTGAAGTCATTTTTCACTTTCATCATCCAGGGAAGGCACAATTCTTAAAAATCCATTAACATAATGCCATGGTTCTAAAGTGTATTTTCTTCCCAAATGACACTTCCTTGGAGATGTCATTAAAGGAGCAATAGATGAAATAATGAAAGAGCCTGACTTGATTTCTAGCTGCCATAAATGCTCCCCACCCCCACCCTACCCCCCACCCTCCCCACCCCACCCCCACTGGCTGTGTGACCTTAAGCTATTCAACCTCTCTGAATTCTCACCTCCTCACCAATAAAATTAGTATTTCCTTGTAACCCTTTTTAAGACATGAAATTAATTAATGTGTGTGAAGAGTTTGCATAGGCCTGGTATCTGTTTAGTGACCCAGGAAATGTATGAGACATGGATAACAGCATCATCACTGGCCACATTGCGGTCTTTAATTGCCCCTGAGTTCTAAAAGCATGTAATATGCACTCCCGAATGGGAGACCTAAGCACATTCTTTTTCCTTAATTACCCAAGGGTGGTGAACTCTCTTCCCAAACAATCCTCTGTCCCCAGAGAAGTGGCATTAACCAAGCCTTCATTACAGACTCTACATATTGGCTAGAGATATGAAGGGTCACAACCCTACAGTAGAAACCTTCATGTCACTTGGATCCAAAGCCCATGTTTTCTTGAAATACATTGGCACAAAGTGGTGTTTCCTCCACCCACAGAGTGTCCTGCATGCTGCCAGTGTCTGTGCTTAAATGTTTAGAGGAGAGGGGAGGGGAGGGGAAGGGAGGGGAGGAGAGGAGGACGGATTCTATACAGTTCACTACAGCAGTACTCTGTGGATATTTAATATGAAAATGAGCCTTTGTGATTCCACAGCCGGGAATATAATAAACAAAAGTTGCATTGTATAGGGCTGGAGGATGGCTAAATGGATAACTCACTTGCTATACAAGCATGACAACCTAAGTTCAGATCCCTGGAACCCACAGAAAAGACAGACACCTCATCTCACATTTGTGGGAAATGAGAGGCAGAGGCAGGAACATTGCCAGAAGTTAGGAGACTAGCTAGCCCGGTATATGCAGCAGTGAACAAGAGAGACTTCCTCAAACAAGGTGAAAGGCAAGGACTGACATGTGAGGTCACCTGACCACATACACACCATGGCGGGCATGTGCTCCAAATTCACTCACACACAGACACACTGTACACACACAGGAGTACACTACACACACACACACACACACACACACACACACACACTCACACAGGAGCACACTACACACACACATTCGCACACAGACACACTGTACACACACACACACACACACACACACACACACACACCATATTGGCCAAGGAATTATCACTGTAACCAAGAGGCCACACTGAGAAGTGCTAGTCTAAGGGGCTGGAGTCAGGCAGAGCCTGGGACAGCTGGAGGAACAGACTTGAGAGTGGGAGGAGATGCCCTGGGACCAAGCTGGTCTCCTCCCTTAGGGCAGCTGGCAGAACAGGAGCCTCTGCTTCCAGCTTGCTCCATCACCCCTGACCCATTACTTGCTACAAACTATTCTTCCAAATGAAAGAAACAAAAGGGCAAGGTCCCTACTTGGAAACTCCACCCGAGGCCAAGAAAACATTTTTTTTTTCATTTGTCAAAGACAAGGCCAAGACAGGGTTAAAAATGAGGCTCCAAGCAGGGACTCAGTGAGAGGGTGTTCACACCCTTCTTTCTGTCTTACTGTTGGATTGTTAGGCTTTTGTTTGTTTGTTTTTAAGAAAGAAAAAAGAAAAAAAAAACAACAAACAAACATGGCCTTTAAAGCCACAGAACAAGAATGTACATCCTCAGGATCCCACAGACTGCAAAACACTTCTAACCAAGAGCTAAGCTATCTTATTTCAAGGAAAGTAAACAAACATCTGGAATGGGGGAAGCTGATAATCTTAGTGGGGGTGGATGGGACAGAGGACAGGCTCCAGCATGCTCAGTGGTCCTCTTCCTAGCTAGGCAAACCACTCCAAAACCGGTTTCTTACTCATTAAAGAACCAGGGAGAGTACTCTCAAAACACTCTAATGCAGTGTTCTCTTTTCATTTATTAATTCATTCACTAGTTCAGTTCACACTTTCTGAAGGCTGAGTGTGTGTTGGGCACATCCTAGGGTGGGAACCAGAAGTCAATATGAGATGTAGCATGTAGGGGCATGTACACAGACATGCATAGCTGGTATTTAGCCTCAGCTCCCTGACACACAGCTTGTTGAGTATAGGAGCAGCCCCTTCCAATCACACCCAAGTTTACATTAACAAGGTGAACACTTAGAGGTGCTAGGAGCCACTAGGAGCTTCAGGATGGGGCTGGTCTTCAAATAACCCAAGCCTTGATTAGAAACTTAAACTCTCAAGTAGGATGAAGAAGAGGAAACCAAAATCCCTGGTGACAGATGATGTAATAAATCTCTCCATGTCCTGAGACCTCTGCCCAAACTCAGAATCACCGGGACCTGAGGGCTTCAGGATTAATGAGCACACAGAGGTAGCCAAAGATGGGAAACATGAGGACTTCCCTGTGCCTGACTGGCTGTGTTCCTGCTGCCCAGCCCTGGTCCACATTCTCCTGATAGACTGCTACTGGTGCACTTCCTGGAGAGCAATGCATTCCTCCCGGAACTTACTGAAGCTGCTCGGGAAACCCTGGGAACCGTAGCTTCTGTGGTCAATTCAGGCTCCAGGTGTGGGTGCTGGGAACCCCACACCCATGACTGTGATGCAAGGTGGAGCAGTCTCTTGGGAATGGGCCCTCAGAAGCCAGGCATCTGGTGTGGACCTTGAATGTCACAAAATTGAAGGAGTGGTTGGTATTGGTAACACTTCTGGAGGAAGGGACAGCGAGTCTTCTTCAAGGAAAATATATGAAACTGTCTTATTTTTACAAGGATTTTTTTTTGTGGTTGTTTTATTTTGTTTTTTTTTTTTTTTTTTTTTTTTACCAAAACCATACAGACACTCTATTATACATGAAATACATCTCCATAAAGTTATTAAGACCCATCCCGTGACCAGGTAATGGGATCACTGGTGCCCTAAGTGCAGGATGTGAACCTTCATTGTCTCTGGACGAGCCATTCCCTGGGTGGACAAGAAAGGTACAGAGGGGACCATGACAGTTGTCTCCCCCCACCTGAGCTGGCTTTTACTCCACCTTGGCCAGAGGTGCAGCAGGGGCACCAAGCCATGAAGAAGTCACAGTGCGCAAGACAACCTCAGGTGGCAATAAGAGCCCCAAATGTCCCAAACAGTAATACCATTAGAAGCCACTGTTCAGTGCCACCGTGCAAGGCCTGGGCTGGATAATTCCTCACAGCACAGGCTGCCCCTGCACTATGTAGGAAGTTCAAGATGTTTAGCATCATCCCTAGCCTCCACTACTAGGTACTGAGAGAGGGCAAACAAAACCAGGTCCAAACATAGGCCAAGGTCCCTTTGAGGACACAATCTCCCCCAGGGGGAGCCTGTCTTAGAGGAAGGAATCCAAAGCACATTGAGCAGAGAGTAAGTGACTTCAGACGTGCCACTGACCAAAGCCTGCTGGACAGGAGGAAGCCCAGGTCCATGGAGATGGAGGAAGCAAAGGAGGAGAGAGCTCTGGGGGAAATCAAAACCCCTGAGAACTACCTGTGGATAGATCCTTAGGGACTGGTGCTGGCTTGGAGGAGGTATCAACCACATGGGGAGGAAGGTA